TATAAATTTTTATGTATGTCACACAGTGCAGACATAATACAGAAAGGTCTGCTTAAAAATCTTTGAATACATTTAAACAAATACACCAGGCAGTTGTTTGCTGTAATGGACTATGCCTGACTGAAGTTTAGACATCAGGGTTCTGAGCAGTAAACTCAACTATGTTCCATTTCTGTGTTTTATTATTATCATCTCAAAAGGAGGGAGCTGGTCTTAGTGATCTCCAAGGTCCTTAGCTAGCCCAGAAATCCTCAGAGTTAGTGACTATAATGGATTTTATAGCCTAATTCCAATACTAACTGTTTTTGCCTTTTCGTTCAAAAGCAAATAGTAATATTGTTAGTGAATCAATTCTTCCATGCACCAGTTGTGCCCTAAACAGTTTATCACTGTAGAATGTGACCACAGGTTTGTTCTTTGTGGGAGGTCTTCTGTGTTGGGACCCTCTTTCATTCTAGAGAGTGACTTAGGTAGGTATTTCTAGAAGAGGTCTAAGTTGCTTGAATCTGAACTTGAACCTTGTGGTGAGCTTGATTTTTCTCCTTAATATACTGCTTTTTGAAAAGCAATTTTTTCTTTCCCTGGCTTTAGCAGTTCCTTGCCCATAACAGGCACTCAATAAATATTTAATGAATTGAATTCAATTTGACCTGCTTAGACGGCGTAGTCCCGGTGTAGGGTTATTCATTTTCAGCAGGAGCTGTCATAAATCACAGAGCTTAATACTAATCCACCTGATGAACTGCACACTCAGCGGCATTGTATGTTGCACTTTCCCAAGTGCAAATTTAGAAAACTCTGTGACCTGGAGGGGCCCTGATGAACTGACTATAGCTCATTTCAAATCTACTTGTACCACTCACCCATGGGTTTCCTGTGTCCCCACTTTTTTGGATGACTGCATTGACTGTGCTCTTCACACACCCTACACTCTGGTGCCTCTCAAGCCTTTGCACACCGCTTTGCCTGGAATATTCCTTTACAAATTTCGGTATGCCTTTCTTAACACTCCAATGCAGCACTTTGTTCATTCCTCTTTTACAGTGCTCAAATCCTCCTGTAATTATTTTCTAACCCACTATTTTTCACTAGGAAACTCCCAGAGGGCAGATCTGTGATTTCTTTCTTTCTGTATTTCCTAGGGCTTGAAATAGTGCCTGACACAAATATTTGTGGAATTAAAAAATGGGTCCTGAAGTTCATGTAAATGTGCAAATGGAACAAAATAAAAATGTAAATGAGTTTAGCCAGGGATCATTAATTATATGTTTGATTCTAATTAAATTGTGATATAGTTAGAAGGAAGATCAGCCTGAGATGCAGAAGATGCAGGCTCTTGTGTTGGATTAACGACTTCTTCATAGTCCCTTAATCTCTGTAGTTCTTAGTTTCTTTATCTGAAAATGAATGGATTGTACAGGATCTTTACTAAGAACCTGTAGAGCAAGAATTACATTGCTCCTAAGTTAATTATAGAGAACTAGGTCTCTTTGCCAGACTCCTTGAGGCAGGAAGTATGTTCTAATCATCTATAATTTCCTGGCACAAAGCTCAGTACCAGGTATAGAGTAGTTATTCAAACAATATTACTGACTAAAATGATAAATTCCCAGAGAGAATTACGATTTAAAGCAAATGAGAAAAAGGTCAAGTAGATAATAGTAAATTAAAAATGTGTAACATTTAAGAGAATCTGTTAATGAACAGTTATTTGGAATGTCTGAAAAAAGTATGAAGGAGAAATTTTTTATTTATCAGTTAGGTATTCAACTGTGGAGGAAATGAATTTGAAACTGCCTAGGTCCCTAACTACAAGTTCATAATTCATTAATCTGTGACATGTGCTAAATTTTATGTTGCTGAAATTAAACTGTTCCTGCTGTAGGATGTTGGTAGTGATGTTTTTGAAATTTGTGCCTGCTTGCGATACTGTCTTTTAGTTTTAAGAATTGAAAAACTATATCCTATTTCAACCAGGATTTGTTAAATCATTGGCATATGTGTGACTTCCTCAGTCTTTAGGGGAGAATGAGCTTCTCTGATTTTATAAAAATGTCACAAAAAATAAAGGTTGTCAAAAGGCTTAATCAGCCTTTCTAAGTATACTTTTGTAACAATTTGGCATCATTTGCTGAATTATTTGCTGTGTAAACCCTTCTATTTGTTTAGAAGATCAAAATAATGTTTTTACATTTAAACTATACCTATACCTTTGGGTTATCAATTTGAATACTAGTCTAATTTAATCATGAAAATAAGGAAGTAATATAATACTATTCATTATATATATCTCATATATATATATATATATATATATACACACACACACATATATATATATTCTAGAATCAATCAACCAGACCATCTCTATATCCATTTTTTAATTCTATACTCTATGCTAGACAATTCTGTTTTAGACACTGTATACAAAGAGGAGGAAGATATGAAAAAGCTTTCAGTGAATGTGAGAAATGGCTCTCTTAAATTAGAGGCTTATGCTTGATAGTTTGAGCAAGATTTGTCTACCCACAAAAAAAATTATATGGTTATTTATTTTTAAAAACACAAGTGAGATAGCAGGTTTAACAGTCCTTTTTACATTTGTTGTTTCTTTGATTTAAAAAAATATCTTTATTTAATTTTTAGAAAGAGAGGAAGGGAGAGGGAAAGAGAAAGAGAAATATTGATGTGAGAGTAGAATGTTGATTGGCTGCCTCCTGCACGTACCCAGCTGGGGTCAAGCCCATGACCCGGGTATGTGCCTTGACCAGGAATTAAACCACCAACCTTTTGATACACAGGATGATGCCCAATCAACTAAGCCACACTGGCCAGGGCTCCTTGATTTTTTGTTTATGGTTCTTGAAAGTATTATTGTTCAACTGCTTCCTGTTTGGCCCAAGCACTTTTACGAGTACCCAGCAGTGGATCCACGTTTTATAGAACCTGGACTTTGGAGTGGTTCTTTTAATTAAAAAACAAACAAACAAAACGTACCAATACAAAAGTATAAATACAAAATTGGGTATGAAAGTGAATTTTTTTAGAACAATAAAGTTAGAAGAAGTTATACTTAAACATGTGATAAATTCACCAACATCCGGGAATCTCAACTCTGTAAATTTTATACTTTGATTCTCTTTCACTGTTCACATATACTTCCAGTTCTGAGTACCACTGGACACATTCAGATGACCCGATTTGACCTGGACCTTTCTGCTCCTGTGCTGGGCTAGTCAACACCAGGGGCACTTGAAGTATTCCTGAAGCAGTTCTTTTATCACAACTGCTGACAGTAATTTAGCCAGTTTCGAAGTGACTGGGTGCTTCACATGTACCTGCCACCAAAGCCAAACTATGTATCTCCAGCCCAAATTCTAATTAGCCAGATTTAAAAAATGCCCATGGCTACTCCCGTGCCAACCAACAGAAGGTTAAGTGTGATGGAAGGCAAGTCCTACTAGGAAAAGATGGCAGTCTTGACTAATTGTGTTTAAAATACCTTGCTCTTGAAAATTTTACGAAAAAATAAAGGCCTTAGAAGAGAGCCAAGCGTGAGGGGACCCTCAAGTTTACACTTCACTAGTTTCTCAGTCAATGTGCCTGTATGTGTACATTTTGCCTTTTGTAAGAGTGTGCACCTTCATGCTGTGTATGGTCTTAGTAATTCCCAGTGATTTAATTAAATAATTAATCAGATGGTTCCTTATACCCTGGTTCAAGGCGTAAGAATGAAGTGTGTTAATTTTGACTAAATCACATGAACATGTGGAAGTGAATATGGTAGTTGAAATATTCTCTTTTCTTGCTAGCAGAAGGTATTTTCAGTTCTGCAGGCTGCCCTAAACACCCCAGTGGTTGTGTGGCACCTGATGGAATGACTGAACCGTTATACTGTTACTCAGGTTTATAGGCATGGGAGATCATCTGGGGAGGTGGAAGAGACTCGTTCTAACCTGACACCCATTTACTACTTAATAACTCAGTTATTAAAACTGCACCTCTTTGTTTTATTTTCCCCACAGTTAAGAACAATATACCAAAACATTAATTAAAATCATGAAAGCATTTTAGCTGAGAGTTCAATGTAGTAAAATAATACATAAATATGAGACATTGGTTACCAGCAGAAGAGGCTCATTTCCTCATTTTTATTTAAAAAAGAGACTGTTAGCGATATACAATAATTAACACCCTGGAGTTCTTTTAAGCCATGAGCAATGAGTTTGTAGAAGAGATTATGAAAACTTTAGGGGTTGAAAGTAAAGGTATGGCATTATAAAAAAAATGAGCAAAAGCACAAATAAACAAAAAAAACCCATGCACACAGACAATAGTATGGTGATTACCAGAGGGAAAGAGGGATGGGGGGAGGCAGAAGAGGGTAAAAGGGGGAATGAATAGTGATAGAAGGAGACTTCACGTGGGGTGGTGAACACACAATATAATGTACAGATGATGTGTTGTAGGATCATGTACTTGAAACCTATATAATTTTATTAACCAGTATCACCCCAATAAACCAATTAAAAAAACCTGCATGGGCCCTGGCTGGTTTTGCTCATTGATTAGAGCGTCAGTTCAAGGACCCAAATGGTTGAGGGTTCGATTCCCAGTCAAGGGCATGTACCTGGATTGCAGATTTGATCCTAGGTGCAGGAAGCAACCTATTGATGTGTCTCTCTCCTATCAATGTTTCTCCCTCTTTCTCTCTCCTTCCCTTCCTTCCTTCCACTCTCTCTAAAAATCAATGGAAAAAGATCCTCGAATAAGGATTAATAGACAAAAAACAATGCGAGGAGAAGAAAATGGGATTTAATTATTTTAAGATAGGTACAGATAGTTGTCAACTCTTTGTAGATTGGTGTTAGTAATTTTAAGATAAAAGTTTATATTATGGAAAATGAAGAAATAGTATGTAGTTCGCCAAGTTTCAGTTTTTCTATGAAAGAAAGTATTGTGGTTCATGTGAAATGTTTTATTTTTGTCTTTGTTTTTAGGTCAGACTGTGCCAAAATCCCAAACTTCAGTTGAAAAATAGCCCACCATATATACTTGATATTTTACCTGATACATATCAGCATTTGCGACTTATATTGAGTAAATATGATGACAACCAGAAACTTGCCCAACTCAGTGAGAATGAATATTTTAAAATCTACATTGATAGTCTAATGAAAAAGTCAAAACGGGCCATAAGACTCTTTAAAGAAGGCAAGGAGAGGATGTACGAAGAGCAGTCACAGGACAGGTAAGACTATTTCAGATTTTATTTCTTAGTGGTAAGGTCATTTATGTTGCTTTTTGTTTCACAGGTGATAAATGTCACCATGTGTTTGTTTTGGGAGAAATGTCATTTTATTTATGTATTCACTTTTCACATTATTTAAACCTTGTAGTTTTACACAAATTTAGTAAAATAGTGAGTTTGTGAGACAGTATTCTAATTTTAAAAATAGATTTTATATTTTAGAGCACTTTTAGATTTACAGAAAAATTACATGGAAAGTACAGTTTCCATACCTCGCCCCCCGTCAGTATTCCTGTAATTAATTACCTAGTTACAGTTGAGGAACAAGTATTGATACAGAATTAGTAACTAAAGTTCACAGTTTATATTAGGGTTCACTCTTTCTGTTGCACAGTTCTGTGGGTTTTGACAAATGTATAATGTCATGTATCTTTTATTACAGTATCATATTAGAATAGTTTCACTGCTTTAAAAATGCTGTGCCCCTTCTTAGAAAGTCCTATAGTTGAAATCATGTAATAATGTCACATTTTCAGACCGGCTTCCTTCACTTAACAATATGCATTTAAGATGACCCCATGTCTTTTTATAACTTGATAGCTCATTTATTTTCATCACTGAATAATACTAATTACATGGATATACCACAGTTTGCTTGTTCACTTACCTATTGATGGACATCTTGGTTCAAATTTTTGCCAATTATTGATAAAGCTGCTATAAATGTTCATATGCAGGTTTTTGTGTGGGCATAAACCTTTAGTTCATTTAAGTAAATACCTAGGCGCTTGATTGCTTGATGTTATTGTAAGCCTATGGTTAGCTTTGTAAGAAACTCCCAAATGGTCTTCCAGAGTGGCTGTAAGGTTTTACATTCCCATCAGCAATGAATGAGGGTTCCCATAGCTCACACCCACCAGCATTTGATACTGGAGACACTGTCTTGAAGGCAATCTAGATTGAATGTGTGGGTGTGGTAGATGTGGGTGGGTGATGTAGCTTCAGTTCTTCTGATTGTCTATTAAGTGAGATCCTGGACTGGGGTGGCAGAGTTATCAACTGACTCCTTATTTTGTAGCCATAATTCTTGACTTAGAAACCCCTCACTAAAGTTTGTTGTTTGACTAATTTAATGTTAAATTTTCCAATTTACCTTAAGCCAAATAAAAATAATAAAGTTTTTTTTCCTGTGGTATTTTAAATATATCGAGAATGTTCACTCATAGTGCTACTTTCCTTAGATTTCCAAACTAAAAAATACAGTATTGATTTAAATATATTATGTCTTAACATGGTTAAGTTGAACTTCAGTTTAAGATACTTAATGTCTGTGGATTTTATTTTTCTTTCATATACAGAAAAATCTCTAAGAAACCTTTAATGTTTCTTTCAGATTGGAAAACATGCCTAATGAAACATAAGACTATATAAGAGAAAATTAATTTATCTAGGTATGCAGACTCTACATTTGTCTGTAATTACCAAATAGCCCAGAGTGAGTAAAACTAATTTTAACATAGGAAAACCCTTCACCAAATATAAAATGGCATAAAAATTTACTTATTTATAATTTGTTCTCTAAATTAGTGATGAGCCCTAACATAATCATAGGAGTCTAACCAGTTATGTAACTGTGGGTTCATCACTTAATATTCTTGGATCCCAGTTTATACATCTTGAGGGTGGTAAATCTTCCAATTGCCTTTTAGCTTTAAAGCTCTAAGACTCTCTCCAGGACTACCCAGGGGAATTTGGATTGCCGTAAGGAGCCAGAAGTAAGGTAGAGACGTAACTGGAGTAATTGTTCCTTCTTATAGACCTTTCAAGAATGGCCAAGATTATGAGAAGCCAGATATTTGTTTACTTGTTTTTTTTTGTTTTTTTTTTATCCTCACCCGAGGACATTTTTCCATTTTTTTGTTCAGGTAGAGTGGGAGGGAGAGAGAGGAACAGAGAGAGAGAGAAACATCGATGAGAAAGGAACACATCGAGTGGCTGCCATCCGCACAACCGACCAGGGCCGGGGACAATCTGCAACCGAGGTACATGCCCTTAGTGGGAACTGAACCCGGGTCTCTCAGGACCGCAGGCCAACGCTCTAACCGCTGAGCCAAACCTGCCAGGGCCAGATGTTTGTTTAAAACTATATTTTCACTTTGTAGTTCTACCATTGATGTTGTTTTAGAAATACCTTTAGAGTTCTTACTCAGATTGAGTAGCCCTGAAATTTTTCCTGGTCCAGCAAGGTAATCCATTAAATTTTACATTTCAGGGTATTAGGTACAGTGAGGTGTGTAACTTCTTCTAGGAATTTGAGTTGATACAGTGTTTTAATTGGTTGTAGTAATAAATGATGTGGTAACTTGTATCTCACTTTTACATCTATAGTAAATTGAAACATTTTCTAACTTATTGGACGTCTTGTAACAACCACGTCATTGATAAATTTTGATATTTTTGGCTTTTTGCTTAGGAGCATATCATAGGGAACTCTAGATTTTGGTTCATGGTGTGTAGATTTCTATAGATGAAGATAGATTGCATAATGTTGACTGACTATGTTGAGACTACTCTTTAAATTCTTCTGTGTTTTAAGTGTCTTATGTGCATTTTGTCACTCTTCTAATTCAACTCTAAGACAAGGTGTATTAGTTTCTGTGCTGGTCTAGCACTCTTAATTGGATTTTACTGTCATCCATGCCCCATATTCTGATAGTGTTCCGTGGCCAGTTGTGTTTATGCAAAACTTACATTGGATAAATATCTAATCATAGTTCTTAATGGACCATTCTTGGTACACTGTAACAAGGACATAGACTTTTTATATATGTTCTTTATTTTATTTTTATTTTTATTTTTTGGCAGTAATATGTTTTTACACATTCACTTCCAGATTTCTTAGGCTAAAGTGTGTCATTGTATATGGAGCTCTTAGGCATTTTGGTGTATAGAATATAAAGGAAGCTTTAAAAAATGTGATCATGGTTGTTAGGCAACAAAATATTCGGTTTAGTAAGTAGAATGGCACTTATCTAACATGTATGACACACTAATTATTGAGAATATTATAAATTCTCTGAACAATTTTTTTAGAATTATGCAAATAATGTCACTAAGGACATTAGTATTATTAGGCTAAAAATATAGGACAGTCATAGTAGAAATAGTAATTTGGAGTTCATTGACTAAACCAGTCTTTTCTCTAGTGATTTGGTACTTTATTGAAGACAATTATGCTGGATGAGTACATGAATTAAAATGTTTATTTTAATGTTCCAGTTGTATCAAAAATAAACTCTGTGGATTTGTTTTAAATGCAAAGGCAAATGGCTATAATTCAGGTATCAATTTTGAACTAGCTTTGTTTTAATCAATCAGTTGCCAAAATGTGAGTAGCCTGAAGTTTTTAAAGCAATTTAACATACATGTGATAAAAATAAGAACATATAGAAAAATAAAAATGGCAAATGCCACAAAATGTATTTCCTGTATAGGAGGCAAGAGGTAGAAATTACAGACAGTTATTAACTACTGAAATAGATGTTAAGGGCACAGAGTGCAGCCCTCATGCTCTGAGAAGGGGTGGAACAAGGACTTCTGGTCGAGGCAGGCTGCGTGCCTTGCTTGACTTTTACAGTAAACCTCTTCGTTCCCCAGTTTTTAAATTTTTTTTCTACCCACAATTGACACACTGAATTAGTGCTTCTCCAGCTGAGTGTCTAAACCCTTCTGAGCTGGTATTTCTGGGAAGAGTAACTCAGTGATTTTTGGCACATGCAACGTTTTTCTGTATACGTCTGGAGTGGGTGTTGGGGATCTTGTGGGGAAGCGAGAATTTATAGCTTGAAGCTCAGAGAAGAAGAGAAACATCATATTGCTTAAAGTTTTAGTGGCAAAAGCAAAATGAGTGTGAGGGTAGTGATAGCTGATAAATGTTTTAACACTGATGGAATGCCTTTTTTCAGTGATTTGACTGATGGCTTCATCAGATGACCATTTTAATAGTAAAATTTACTCTTTCGTATACAGTGCTATATATTAATCACAGGCTCTGCAAGGCCTGGTGTTGGACGCTGTTTTTAAGAACACCAGAGATGATGGCCTAACAATATTCAGATTTTCCATATTTTAGAACTGCTTCAGTGTACCAGAGCCCTACACCCCATTTCCCCCTACCCCATACTCTGGTTTACAACCCCTGAAACAAAACCAAAAGTCAGCTGAGGTGGAACATAGCTCTGTGCTTGATAACCTATCTGTGAAGAAAAATAAGGCTTTTAAAATATTTGTGCCAGAGAATAATACATAGATGTTGTGTTATTATTAATGTCACTTCAAAGCCCTGGGCCATTTCTTATGCACATGTGTTATGGAAAACAAATCATAGTTTGTATAGTTTGAATAATAATATTCACTCCAATTAAGATGTTTTTGTACAAGTATTTTGACATAAAAATAGTTCTAGGAGATGATAACCTTTATTTAAAATCTTTCAGAAAAAAATCTTTTCTCCATTGACCATTTTGTCTGAAGAAAGAAAAATGCATAACCTGGTATATTAATCAAGTACCCTTCCTCCAGATGACTACAGATCACTGTGCTTGCTGCTTATATCTCTGTTGTGATTTATGAAATATGCACCAAGAACATGTAGGAAGTGATATATTAAAGATACATGGTTAAGTTGAAAGTTGAATCAAAAACATTAGTTACAACAATAACAACAATAAAAGCAACAGTAAAACACAAAGCTGCAAATAAGCCTACTTTCTTTCCCCATACCACGGGATGATAACATTTCTTTGGCCAAAGGATAATGTCGCATTAATACAAATATCTGTATTTGTGTAAACACAAAACATGTTCGTTACATGGTCCTCACAGTAGTTCTCAAATTCCTCATGGGTTTTCAGTTTAACCACAGACAGAAATTGACCTGTTTGTACAATGTGAGCTTTATGTAATAGTTTTAATTATTAGTGGACCTCACAAGTTAATGG